GCAGAGATTGCTTCCACCTGAACATCTCTCGTGTCTGTCTCGTCTGTGTTCGCTGACTCCACACCTCCTTCACGTATCCACCAGTTCAACCCTCCCGGAGGTGGACTCCAACACACCGCCACTGGATCCACAAGACTTTTCACCCAACTGGCCTGTGAGCTTCCTGCATTTGGCATCCCTGCATGTGTTGCATGAGTCTGAAAGGAATTTATGGACTAGTATAGAACATATGGGCTAATATTGGACTTATGGACTTGATCTGGACTGGGATGTTTTCTTAAGATACACTTACTCTTTGATTTAAAGTTCTTTCTTATACACACACGAGTGTCTATGAATTTGTTTCTCTTGTCAACCCGGTCTACCACAGACATCATGCTTGGTAACGTAGCGGGTCAGTGGAAAGAGGAAGGCCCTTGACAATATGGATGGACACAATAGCTGCAACAAAGAGCTCAGACATAAGCACAGTTATGAGGGTGGTGCAAAACTGGGTAGTGTTTCAGTCTGTTGTACACGGGGTCACCATGAGTCCTAACTACCTAACTACCACAAAGTCTTTCTGGGAGTGATGCAGGGTGCGTACAAAGTGGGTCCATCCGCATTGCCCAGTCACCATTGTCAGATTACAGAAGCCAGGGGGATTCCAAGTTTTATTTTCTTTATTTTCACATGCATGAGAAAGAACAGAGTGCTGGGGGGTGGGGGGTGATCCTTCCACCACATGCCTGTCACTTGGTTTCACAGGACAAAGATGTACACACACACACACATATATACACATACACACAGAGACAATGAAACAGTTTTTCAGACAGACACCAATCTTGGAATGACAAGTACAAACTGAAAAAAGTTTTAACAAACACTGTATGTTACTGAGCTTCCATTTGACACCTTAAATCTGCAGGAGACAGGCCTGGTATGCAGGTTTCTGACTCTTACTGGGCAGGGAGAGAAAGCCGGGGCAACATTCCTAACAGGTAAGAATTGAGTCTTGGCCTCAGCAAGTATCCTTGAGAATCTGTCTGGATACAATCACAGGCTATTCTGTGAGACAAGTTAGAATGGGTTCAGTTTAGGGACACAGTTATGGAAAATTTCCAGTTACGTCTTGGCAAACTAGATCATTCTCTAAACTCTGATTCTTCCAAATGATATTAAATTTCCATCATAAAATAATAGGGCTTAACTATTATTCAAGTCTCCTTATCAGGAGTAGGAAGTTTCATCTTCTGTAGCCGAGTGGGCTGGTGGATTCCACCTGAGGTTAGCAATTCAACCCACCTGGAAACCAACCCACTGGGTCACCAGAGCTGCCTGTAGACCTGAAAATTCACCCCAAATCATCCCACCCCCGGTGCAGTAGTGGTTATGTTAGATCTCTCTGGAGCTAGATATACCTCGGTCCTTGGCTCTGCGCGAGAAAGAATTCACGCCGAAGCCTGGTTCGTGATCCAAGTGAGTTTCTCCAAGTGAGTTAGATGCTCGGTCTCACACAAAAGTGTCCCTAAGTTTTCCACCCAAGTTCTCCCAAAATTCTCTCGCTTGACTCCGGGCTCTTGCCTTTTCAAGGATTCCATGGGGAGGCGTGGTGGACGACCCCTGATCGACCCCATTGGCTGAATTGAATATACCTGGCCTAGGTGGGCCAATTCAGGTTCATGCCCACATGCCTACGGGGAAACCCAAGCCCCTGGGCATGTGCAGTGCGCTACTCCTTTGTTCCCTTAGCTTGGCCCTCTGGGCATGCGTTAACGGACATTCCCCCCGTCCTACCTAGTCTGTGTAACAGTTACACATTTCCGAAACCAGCAGCAGCTCCAGGGGAGAAAGACTGGGCTTTCTACTCCTGTAAACAGTGACAGTGCAGCTGTTGGAAAACCCACAGGGGGTCACTATGAGTCAGCATTGACCCCATGGCAGTGAGGGAGGGATTCTCATTGTAGCCCTCGATCATATAGGCAAATGTTAGAGTTCGTTTAGAAATTGTTTTTACATGATCTCAATTTTAAAAGGGTGGTGGAGGTGGAGGAGGTGGGGGGTTGGCGATAGTGGCTGTAGAGGTGGTAGAGGAGGTAGTAGAAGTTGTGGTGCTGATGGAGGTGGTGGAGCTGGAGGGTGTGGGGGTGGTAGAGGTGGAGGAGGTGGTGGGGGTGGAGGAAGTGGAGGTGGTGGTGGTGGTGGGGGTGGTGGTGGTGGTGGTGGTGGTGGTGGTGGTGGAGGAGGTGGAGGTGGTGGAGGTGGACATCCTGCTTGGTAAAGTGGAGGGACAACGA